GACTCCTGCGAGTCCCCTGGACTGCAAGGCGATCAAACCGGTCAGTCCTAGAGGAGATCAACCCCGACTGCTCTTTAGAAGGCCAGATCCTGAAGTTGAAACTCAAGTACTTTGGCCACCTAATGAGAAGGAAGGACTCCCTGGAGAAGAGCCTAATGCTGGGAAAGATTGAGGGCAATAGAAGAAGGGGACGACAGAGGATGAGATGGCTGGATGGAATCACTGAAGCAGTAGGCGAGAGCTTAAATGGACTCCAGAAGATGGTAGAGGACAGGAAGGCCTGGAGGAACCTTGTCCATGGGGTCGCGATGGGTCGGACACGACTTCGCAACTAACAACATTAACATGCCCATTTCGAGAATCAGGCAGAGCGAGCTTCAGTTTATTTAAATCAAAGCAAATGAATGAAAGAATAGAGACTTCGAAGAATGTTTGAAGAATGCCGAATATCATGATCACATGACTGCTGGCTGCTACAAAGGGCTGTAGATGCAAGTTGGTTGCCCAGCATCCAAAATGTGATCATGTGGTTATGGGTGTGTGTGGCTCACTTCAAAATCAGGTCGTAACTAGCTCTGGGGAGACCCGTCGTGACTTCAAATGGTCACCAAGCGGCCAGTCATTATTGTGAGGACTACCTGTATTTTTAAAACGTCATGGCAGACTTTACATAACCCAGCTGAAATTCTGACCACTGCATCTGAAAAAGGAATCTTAGCATCTTTTAAAAAAAACTAATTGCCTTGGTCCATATGTTGTTCTAAATCAGGGCTCTTCAAATTTGGCAACCTTAAGACTTGTGGACTTCAACTCCCAGAATTCCCCAGGCAGCATTAAAGAGACAACTCTGTTGTCGTTCTAGATCAGAGGTCTACAAACTCGGCAACTTTAAGACTTGGGGATTTCAACTCCCAGAATTCCCCAGCCAGCAGATCAGTCGACAAATCTTAAAGTTGCCGAGTTTGGAAACCCCTGCACTAACCTGTGGCTTTGTGCAACTATTGTAGGGATAGGGTTAATTGGAAAAAAACAGCCTTTGCATGATTGGTGCCACATGCGAAGCCATAAAACAGGCTTTACAAAGCATAGCAATTTTTCTGTTCCTGCTTTGGCACATCTGCATGCAGACCCCATGAGGTCATCTCAGTTGACACCCCTCTCCCCAGTTTTAGAGCTGATTAGCCTGGAAAGAGAACCCACTTATGCAAAAGCAATGTGAAAATTAACCCTTTCTCACCCTCTTCCTCAACATATGTCTGCTAGCGCGCCCGAAAAGCAACTGAATATTGCTTTTGGATATTAAAAGTGAAGCTTGCTGTGCAATTAACAAGTCAGGCCTGTATTTTAGTATCTGGTGCTGGGTGAAGTGTCTTTTGCTCCGAGCAGTATAATTATAGGCTTCCATTGATTTTATACATCAAAGCCTTGCCATCTACCATCAGTTGAACTTAGTAAACCTTAGCAACGAAATGCACCAACCGTTGGAGATTCAGCTATGATCGTCTGCAGTTTCTTCCCTGCCTAGCGCATTATCCAGATCAGAAAGCGTGCAGAATCCAAAGCGTGCACCGGTATGCTTGATCAAAAGCTTAATGACTGCATCAAAAGGAACCCAATCATTGCTGCGGCCCCCTTGCATGTTTTCCAGCTGAATTGCCTTTGGCTAAGTTGAATCTTTCTAGCTCAGAGGCAGTCTGAAAACTATCAAAGTTGGACCGGCTTTTGAAAATTTCACAGGGGGAACCTGCTGTTGCAGTGTTTTGGGTGTGTTAACTGTGAGTGGTTCCTTCGCTCTCTCTGCCTGTCTGTGTTAGTATTGCTTTATACTCCTTTGGTAAGGCCCCACTTGGAATATGGCATCCAATTTTGGTCACCACAATGCAAAAAAAGACGTTGAGACTCTAGAAAGTGTGCAGAGAAGAGCAACAAAGGTGATCAGGGAACTGGAGGATAAAACACTTGATGAACAGATGCAGAAACTGGGTTTGGTCTAACAAAGAGAAGGATTAGGGGTGACATGATACCGGTAGCAGTCTACAACTATTTGAGAGATAAGAGGGAGGTCAACCTGGTACCCAAAGCACCTGAGGGCAGGACAAGAAGTAACAGACGGAAATTCAACCTAGAATCAAGGAGAAATTTCCTGACAGTGAGAACACTTAATCAGTGGAACGGCTTGCCACTAGAAGTTGTGGGTGCTCCATCATTGAGGTTTTTAAGAAGAGATTGGACAGCCATTTGTCCAGAATGATATAGGGTCTATACCAGGGGTCTTCAAATGTGGCCCTTTTATGACTTGTGGACGTCAACTCCCAGAATTCCTCAGCCAGGCATGCTGGGTGAGGAATTCTGGGAGTTGAAGTCCACAAGTCATAAAAGGGCCAGGTTTGAAGACCTCTGGTCTATACCAATGATATAGGGTCTATACCAATGATGGCAAACTTTTTAGAGACTGAGTGCCCAAAAACTGGCCCCGCCCCCGCTCCACCCTCTGCCCTGACCCCACTCCATCCCTACCCTGCCTGCCCGCAGGGCCACTCACCGCCTCCAGGGCCCACCACAAATCACCGAGCAGCGCCATGGCAGCCACGCCCTCTGCCCGCGTCCCGCAGCATCAACTGTGCGCGATGGGGCATGAGGGCAGAGTCTTGTCTACTCTGTCTGGCTGCCATGTCCTTGGCTGCACTGCTCCGTGTGAGCCATGCTCGGGGGCGACTCTCATCCAGGGGGGCTGCTGGTGAGGGGGTTGCGGGGGGAGGCAAGACTAGGGCAATGGCACGTGTGCCCACAGAGAGGGCTCCGAGTGCCGCCTCTGGCACCCGTGCCATAGGTTCGCCAC